TATACTATTACTAGTCTTTTCTTCTTCCTTATACATTTTTACGCCTGACGAAAGTAAGCTTGATAATGTCTCCTCTCATATTGCGACGTCGGTGATAATTTTTCTTTAGACATTGTGACGTCGCTGATAAATGTACTTTCACATCTCAAAACCTTGATACGAGAATTACGGAGCAACTTAGCAGGTTGATATAAGCGAAGGGAAAAACATTAAATATATGCACATCAATTGGTGATTTAAACTGTATAACTGAGTTGACTGTATCTTTCAAGAAGCTAACAATATAAAATTTTTTGCTTGTTTTTTGAAACACACAATTCATATGCGCCTTTTAAAATCTAGGTTCTTTCATGCCTAATACGTTGTAAAGTGGCACAGGTTTCTGGTTTGCCCGAGTATAGTTGTGGTGTTACTTCCTTTTGGTGAACCTTAAAATGCTTTATGTATAAGTATATATATTAGATACAGAACAGAAGTTAAAAAAAAAAGGAAAAAAAAGGCCGGTAACAACTGTTGCCGTTAAGTTTTTCTGCACGATAGTGGAGCAGCGGAGTGGACAATTTTAGAAATTAAAATTACCTACATAACTCATGGCATTATAATAGCTCATTGAAAAGCTTAAATCGTGTACTTTTTGAAATTATATGTCGTAAAAATAGTCGCTGCTCCTTGAAAACGCATGCTACTTGCACATGCTTTCCCCCTTACACGAACAAACAAGGTATTGTAGAGAGTCTGATGTCATATGTCCTTCAAAGAAAACTGACTCTTACTTGTCATTTTTCCAAATTTCTAACCAAACTCACCTGGCTTCCCATTATTTGGGTTAGCAACATTTGCCTACACCCAAACTTTCCTTTGCCATATTGCACATACAAATGTAGTACGAGTTGCTTAAACACTAATTCACATGGCGTAAGCTTTATTACACTTTCATGTTTATATATAGCCAACTGTTTTAAATTTAAATTGTTGTTCAATTTATTTAACTTGTATTCTAAGTCGTATAACGCAGTAACAAACACACTAGCATCATTTATAGCACTATCAACATCACCGTGTGCTAATGCTACAAGATTACTGAAGTGGCTTGCTTTCGTCCTAAGGAGGTTGCATACCGACTTTTTATCGATCCCACAAAAACTTGAATAAAATCCACTCAAGGCATGGATGATCGGCAGTATTTTGATGACAACTGGGCCAAAAGACGAAACAGTGCCGTGAACTGGGATAAATCGTCTGTTATTCTACAAGCTGTCATTTGAACCAGTCTGAACACATACGTCTTAATTTTGTAATTTTAAGCGTCAGATAGAAATGGACAGCCATAACAAGAACACTAGTATAATCTGATTTGATAACAATTCTATCCTCATCGTCTTTTCCACCATACATAGCATCAGCATGAAAAGTATGGAAAATCATTATGGTATGTGCCTCTTCATGGTTACAACTTGAAGTCGGACAACTGATAATATTACTGTCTGGCGGCTTTAAACAATTTTCGATTTTGCTTTGATGTTATTCGTTGCTTTAAAGGCGTGGCCAATAGAAATGACGCTTGCAAATTAAATGTTCGATTTGTCATGACCTTGTTTAGAAAAGAACACTATGGCAGCCATGTTGTGTTTCTTAAATTTAGCCTTGAGTTTAAGAGTAATTGCAGTAAGTCTTACTATGCTATATTTGGTAAGAAAGACTGGTACATTATCAACATTGATAAAATAACAAGTCTTTTTGTCACGAATAAGGTCTTTGTCTCTAATTTTAACGACTCTTTGTGTAATTTGGTCTTTATGCCAAGCATGTGGTCAAACATCCAGCATAATAAACTGCGTTATTGATTAAATCTCGTGCTTTATTCGGTAATATTTTTTATTGTATCTGCGTTGCCTGCTTTAACAGCACCATCATTTAGATTTGCTAATCTTCCAGCATGGTATGTAATGTTTTCACTTTCTATGTGACATTTTCTTGCAAATTATTTACTCTAATGTTTCGAGAGGCCAGGTCAAGATTACTTTCAATCAACAATGAAGTGGATAAATCTGGCTTTATATCTGGTGCTTCCTTTTCAGCCGTGCTACTGCATGATTTCAAATTGTGTCTACCTGTGTAGCTTTTAAAACAAGACCTTTGATATCTTAATATGATTGAATCAGTTTACGTATCATTATATAGGTCATTCAAATAATAAATAAATCATCACGTTTCACTGCTGCAGCATTTAGCAGATTTTTTTTTTTCTTGATTCTGTTGCTCTTCTTAAAATTTGAGCAAATACACAATTGCAGGTAATTTATTTGTCAACTCCAACCTCAGAGCACCTTTTCTAGGCATCGGACGGAGCCAGTTTTAACAAACTAGTATAATTGTCCGTTTCCTTAAATATCCAATAGATCGAACACACCTGAAAACCAATACTCATCCTTCAATAATTATCTCTTTCACTGTTTTATTCATCAAACACCACTAAACAAAAATACCTAACACCATGAATAAATTGCAAAGCTTCAGAAATTCCAAAGTAAACAAGAAATACGCGTGATAATAATTAAAATGACCATCGCAAAAATTGCCTAATGTGGGCTTATAACTAGATATCAGAACAGTGTCGGTTCATGTATGACAAATATCCGAAATTGAAATTCTGATAAAATGCAGATGTTCAACCGATTATATTGCTTGTTACTTATTTTCTTGAAAAAGTAAATCTGGTCGATTGAAGTACTATACGACGGCTTTACGGTTGTACCTTTAAAAAATACACATTTATTGCACGTGCTGTTAATGCTACTTGGTGCTCTGTGCTTTAAATATAGCACTTTTCAAAGATGCCCTTACAATGTATGAAGTTCAAGAGTAATCATATTAAATTACGGAATATATCTCCCTCATGCAAAGCTCTAATTCCTTATCCGGCTTTGGTTGTACTTTTTTGTCCATTTCGGTTTATAGCTCTTCATCTTTTTAATAAGCTTTGGATTTTCAAATATTTTGGCCTCGATCGAGCATCACTGAAGAGACATTAATTATAAAATTGCGCATCTGGTGCAGAAAAATTGGTATCGTTAATGTTATTAACCAATTTGGTTCACAAATTAATTATGAGATTGGTCTATCGAAACAGCAGTGGGGTCTTCGATGACAGTTGGGTAACGTCAGTTAATGTCGTTTTAAACGTCATTGGTACCACATTTGACATTTTCGACAAAAATTTTTTTTGAAGTTGAATAATCGATAGACATTTTAAGACATTACTATTCCATGAGGTATTTAGGTAATTTAAACTCGTTAACTAAGAGTCTTTTTTCAACATTCGTCGCTCCACTACGAGTAGTCCGGTCATATCCAAAGCGATAGCCAAGGACCTTGACCTGACTACAGTGCAGAATATACGGCTAGTTGTTACTAGCTTTGTTACTTTTGTTTTGTGTCTGACTTGTATGTCGTTTTTAATTAGAAAGTAATATATGTTTCATTGTAAGACGATTGAATAATTAAAAAGATTAAACACAAAAAAGTCCATACCGGTTTATGTACTACGATGTTTGGAGATATTTAGTTTTCATTAAACTAGAGATTTTTTGTTAACACTAGCGCTTCTCAATTCTTTAAAATTTGCCTCGTTGACTCATAATGACGTAGTCATTTCACGCATGTTTTTTGTCAAAATATATATGACAACTTTACCTAAAAAGATATTTTAAACATAATTATTAACATGTTTATAAAATACATTTATTATAGTATATATTATGGTAAAGCTGTGTCTCATACGTAAGTGATAATGACAAGATCACAAAATGAGGCTATGTTGTCAGTTGTTACTGTTTTGCACTAAATGTAAGAAGTTTGAAGCCCTAATACCAAAATGTGATTCAAAATTCTAATATATAAATATAGATTATAACATGGCATTTTTCATATCAGACCCCTTATCAGCCCTAGGTCATGATATCAGCCCGAGAGCCGACAGGCTCGAGGGATGATTTTGACCATGGGCTGATAAGGGGTCTGATATGAAAAATTACATGTTATGTTTTTTTATCATATATTTCAGCAGAAGACATACAGACAAGAATTATTTTTAAAACTTTGAAAAATGCATTTATTATATTATTTGTTTTGCATTTTTTAATAATATATTTTCCTCTTTCCCAATTTTTGTTTTTTTTATCCTGCTTTGTTAAGTTTTTCACTAAAAACGTACCATTGAGGTGTATTTTACGGAATTTGAAGAGTGACGTCGAAATGCCCGTCGAAAATAATAACCGGAAGCAGTTGACAACAAAAGTCATATCACACGACTAAGACAATTCTTCAGATTTAATGAATAAATATATGTACAAATTACAGTTTTATCAAGGGGTACAATAATAGCATTATTTTTTATAAGCATATTATAAATACTGCTATCAGACAGACTATTATCTTATGAACATCTGAAGGATGTTATTTGTTAGATTTATAATACTTTTTGATTTTTGAATTCAAGTGGTAAAAAGTGGCTTTATCATACCTTCTCCTTTTGAGTGTAATGTCTATACTTTTTTATGTTTTAGCAAATTTTCTACCGTGTTTTACTTAAAACCGCATTTTGTTTCAATTGAAAAAATGTAATTATTCCTGTTTTAGATACGAAAAACAATTCTTTACCCAAAAATCATCTTTTGTTCTCAATAAATGTGAACATTGGTCTGAGATTTTCACCCAATGCAACTCGTTTACAAAACAAAATATGGCTTTTCTTGATTCGCACTGTCCATACACTGCTATTTAGGCCAATATTACATGTATTTCTTATCTGACATTCCTTTATTTGGTGTCGTGGTTTATAAGGTTTATATGTCAGGAGTGTTTGGAACAGATAAGCGTTTGTGTCATTCTATTATAATTGGTTTTGTACTGCGTATTTTGAAAGGTGTAAGCATTTAGTTACAATGTTTATATATACGTCTGTACTTTTTATGCTCTATGTGTTTGGGGCGGAGGGTGGTATGTCAGATATCTCGACACGATTAGCGCAACTTGAAAACATCGTTAAATCCCAAAATTCAAAGATAATTCGATTGGAAGAAAACGTAGAAACTCTCCGTCAAAATAATACACAACTGGATGAGATTATTATAAGACAACAGGAGCAACTCAAAAGGTTGGAACAACGTGGTGATCAGCAAAGATCAGTGTATCAGGACAATAAAGTCAAGCAGTTAACGAGAGGTACATAATCACTTATTTGTACTTAGTACAAAATGGAAGTCTATTGACATAGTATAGAAATGAAGTAAAATGTTCAAATAAAATTGATAAAATTGAGAATGGAAATGGGGCATATATATTACAAGATAGGGAATAATTATACCGGGTTGAAAAAGCAGTTACTAGTATATGGCATTATAAACGCATTATAAATGGGTAGTCGAGTAACATAGAATACTTGTATTGTATAATCAATTTCTAATTGTTTTAATTGTTCCCGTTTCTTCGTGTCCGTTTCTAAAAAAAGTTTTCAAAATTCTTTTCCCATGAAATCAGTGGCCCTACTAAAAACCTTGAGCGTATTTACAGTTACTGTTAAAGCAAAGTAGCGTTATTGCCGATCAGATAGCATTGTTCTGTTTCTTAAAAAAAAATTCATCGGGGTAAAGCAGGTATCAGATGATAATGTTTGTGGTTTTCCTCATTAATATTTGTATAATTGTTTATTAAATGAAGTCAAAGATTAACGCAAATTAAAGCTGTTAATGTACATAATTGCAACGTTAACATTGTGTGAAAATGTTAGGTTTTGACAAAATGGGTTTTATTAATACGTCTTTCCTGAAATTCCTAACAAATTTTGGGAATTGTGAGTTTTTCTACGGATTATTTTATTATCAAATCTTATTTAAGAGATAAAACAACTTTTAGTTATCAGTGTCTACGCGCATCTGGCGTACTTTAGTATCAACCTTGTATCTTTGATGAGTTTCTACATACATCGAGGTCTTTTAAATGTTTAGGTTTGAGCGATCTTGACGAAGGTTAATCGAGAAACGCGCTTCGAACATCATTAAAGTGTTTATTTCATTAATTTACTTTCGTAGTACAGTATGCGTGTGTCAATATAACTTTATTTTTGAATTAATTCAAATGGCGTTAAGGGAGCTACCATTGGATTTTTATGGGGGCTAGGGTGAAAATTTTTGTCCTGCATTTTTTCTTTTAGTTGTAATCTCTGTCCTGCATTTTTTCTTTTAGTTGTAATCTCTGTCCTGCCTTTTTATTTTTCACTCTATTCGGTCCTGCCTTTTTTTTTTTAGTTTATCCTGACTTTTTTTTACATAAATTGTCATCCCGCCTTTTTTTTTGTGCAAAATTGCTCATCCTGGCTTTTTTTTATTCAAAATTCCTGTCCTGCCTTTTTTTCAAATTCCATCCTAGCCCCCGATAAAAATCAAATGGTAGCTCCCTTACCAGACCTACCACAGTTCAAAATTTTGAAATAGAACCAAAAATGCTTTTGAGACAAGCTTTCACATTGATTTTATAGTGCCGAAGAAGATTTTGTGAGGTTGACAAAATTTACCTTGAAACGATCGTATGGAATTTTGATGTCAAAAAATAGGCAGATCGGACATATTTTGACTTTATCTACTAACTACTTTTGTTTAGGATTAATTGTAATTATAACATTATAATGAGAATGAAAAATGTTTTATTTTGTTAAGATAAAAAATAATTTTACCTGGCGTAGCCGTGCGTAAAATGTATTTCGGCATTTTCTTCTTCGAAAAATGACTTGAATTATTAAAATATAATTTATCTATTCTATATGTGGAAAACTTTTTGTGAAAATATAAGAAGTGGCAATTCTACCTTTCGTACCTTAATTTAATTAGTTTAATTGATAACAAATAATATGGACTTCTCCAGTGTACAGTTTGGAGGTCAATTAAGTTACTGTACACATGCATGCATGTTCTGATTTAATCAATATACGTGTATGAAAAAAATAAACAGTTTGCAGGTAAACTAATAATAATTAAATCCAATCAAATTGCGTAAGATTCAATAACAATGACCTATCCACATCATAATAAGTAATAGTGGTAAACTGGGTAAGGAGAATATGACAGATATTTTAAGTTAATTTTTTGCAAAATCGAATAAAAATTTGTCAACCAAAACTTTTGCTTTAATTTCAAAAACATGTCGTTATGTATTGGTATAGTTTTCGGATCTTCCATTTGCGTATGTAAGGCAATAGAAAGTTTGGGCTTCAAAAGTCTACATCAGTATTGACTTTATACAGAAAATTTGCCTTTTTCAAACATTTAATGTTACACAAATAATACATGGATACAAGGATACAAAGTAAAATCATGTCTTAAAACACTGCAAAATAAAATCATACTGATTGGTACAGTGGTATTGTCATAAAGTGCGTTGAAATGAACCGTGGTATAAAAAAAATCGAATTCCCCAACAAAATGTTATCACACACTATAGACAGGACATGATGATTTAATCCCTTTATATAGAATTCCTCAACTTCTTGGCTTGATTGATATATCCGTTACCGGTAACCATATGACACAGGATGATAATAGATATATATTGGGAATAGCAGTTTTTGTTTTCTTATAATTTGGTTGACCGTCATGGAATATATGTGTATGTCTAAGATGACCACGGATATGTTCCACTTGTCGTTGCCACTGTCTGTGTGTATAGATTTTTAAATAAAATATATATAATACTTGTGTCATTGCCATTTATATAGTCCCTCAAATTAACAAGCGTGCACACGCTGAAATGTCTCGCCTGTTTTACTCACCATTGATTATATGTTGGAAGTCTTAAAGATAAAGGTTTTACTACAAGTATCACATAAACTTAACATTTTTTAAGATCCATAACAATAAGGTCAAGGTCAGGTTGAAACTGCCACACATACATGTACACCTTACAGTTATTCCATACACCAAATATAGTTCACCCATTGCTAATGATAATTGAAAAAATAGACAAAAACACAAAAACTTGATATTAATCAATGAACCATTAAAATGAGGTCAAGGTCAGATGATACTGGCTAGACAGACATGTACACCTTACAATCATTCCATACCTCAATTATAGTTGACCTATTGCTATTAGTATTTGAAAAACAGACCAAAAACACAAAAAGTTAACCATGACCAATGAACCATGAAAATGAGTTCAAGGTCAGATGACATCGGCTAGACAGACATGTACACTTTACAATCATTCCATACCTCAATTATAGTTGACATATTGCTATTAATACTTGAAAAACAGACTTAAACACAAAAACTTAACATTGACCAATGAACCATGAAAATGAGGTCAAGGTCAGATGACATCGGCTAGACAGACATGTACACTTTACAATCATTCCATACCTCAATTATAGTTGACATATTGCTATTAATACTTAAAAAACAGACTTAAACACAAAACCTTAACATTGACCAATGAACCATGAAAATGAAGTCACGGTCAGATGAAACCGGCTAGACAGACATGTACACCTTACAATCATTCCATGCACCAATTATAATTGACCTATTGCTATCAGTACTTGAAAAACAGACCAAAACACAAAACTTAACATTGACCAATGAACCATGACAATGAGATCAAGGTTAGATGAAACCTGTCAGTCTGACATGAACACCTTACAAACATTCCATATACCACATATAGTTGACCTGCTGCTTGTAGTATCTGAGTAACGGACCTAATCACGTTACTTTAACCTTGATCACTGATTCATGAATTGAGGTCGAGGTCAGGTTAACCGTGTCTGACGGATATATAGACATTGCAAGGAACCCATATACCAAATATAGCTATCCTATTACTCATAATAAGTGAGAAGTTCACATGACAAATAACTGTAATTTTCGTTCAAGTAGTCACTGAACCATGAAAATGAGGCAAAGACTATGGGCATATGACAGACGGAAACTTCGTAACATAAGGTATCTGCATACAAGGTATGAAGCATCCAGGTCTTCTACCTTCTGAGATATAAAGCTTTATACAAATAGTTTACGCCGCCGTCGCCGCCTGATAGTAATACCTATGTCTCGCATATTGCGACTTTGGTCACAGGCGAGACAAAAACTATACTGTGCCCTGGTCATTTAAGTTTTCGCCCCATCTTATGAAAAACTTTTAAGAAACAGTACATCAATGGTAGATCACCAACTTTAAATGAATTATTTGGATAAAAGTTAGTACAATAAAGATTTAAATTAAGAGGAAAAGTTAAGAAAAAATACTTTCAGATTTTTTAACAGCTGTCCAATGATTTTTTTTCTGCAAATATTTAAGTTATTGCATAATTAGTAAAATAAATCTATTTGAGCCACCGCCTTAATTTTTACATATCAAGACCTGTTGCAAAACCGATCGGAATTTTGGGTCCTTCAAATTCGTACTTTATTTGGCTTTTTTTTTTAAACTTTTTTGATTCACTGATGAGTCTTATGTAGACGAACTGCTAGTCTGGCGTACACAACTTTAAATTCTGGTATCTACGATGAGTTTATTTGTATTAAAATAAATTAAAAAATGAACATTTCTGCAGATTATCACTCTATAAAATAATTTACTACTTCGACAAGAACAGTGTATGTTTCTGCGTCATCAAAAACATAAGTTTTAACATTTAGATAGATATTATTAGGTGTCGATGGATTTAATAAGATTTTCATAATTTTTAGGTAGTCGTCTACTCAGTGCAAGCCCTGGAGTAATTACCATAGCTTTCCATGCTCGTCTTTCCAAGACTGAAACGCCTGCGAAACATCATACTATCATATTTGACATCATCAGCACAAACAGTGGAAATGGCTACAACAAATTTTCAGGGGCATTTACTGCACCTATTGATGGTCTTTACGTTTTTTCATATACTATTGTCCCAGATTGCAACAGCTATGGCGCATTTGAACTTGTTGCAAATAACCAAATACACGGCGTGGTTTTTCCTGAATCTGCCGGCGGATGTGACTATACAGGATCTTCCACAACAGCAGTTGTTGAATTGGCTCAAGGTGATGTCACATTCATAAGAACTAGTCCAACATATACACCAGTTGGAAAAATAGTAAGCAATGTCAATATGTGGACATCTTTTGCAGGCTGGCGGATCGGGGACAGAGAGTAGAGTTACACAATAAATTGTAGATTTTATCATTAATCTAGTTTTATTCCATTACCTTTACACTTTAATGAGTATTTTCTTAAGTTCTGTTGGCATTATCGCTACAACACCTATCATAATTAAAAAAAGGGAATAAACAATTATATTTTTATAGCAAAGAAAGACAAAATATTTACATGATTCAACAATAAAGCATTTTACCCGGAAGCTATATGCACGTGTTTTGATTACATAGAAATTGAAAAAAGACAATTGTAATAGTTGTTTTCAATTCACCCAAAAAGAATAAGAAGACATCTTGATCGTATTTCCGGTGTATCATTATTAGAAGTAAATAATGACGATGAATTTTTATATGCAGTCGGATAATCGTTCAATCATTATCAAAATAAGAACATGTTGATGTGATACAACTTAGTGTATGAATAAAAAATCTGCTTTCTCATGGACATATATGTTGACCGAGTTATTTAAAATAACATAATCGGTGCCAATTGTATTGCACCAGATGCGCATTTCGATAACTAATTTATGTTTAGTGATGCTCGTGGTAAAATATAAGCATGAATGCTGACAATATAAACACGAGGAGATGTTATGTGATTCCCATATGAGACAACTCTCCTCCAGAGTCCAAATGATGAGGATTTAGGCAACTATTATCTATTGTATGTTGTCTATAGACAGATGGTATAACATTCGATTTTATTTTTTCTGAATGCGAGCAGGCTTATATTTATGATTTCGCTTACTTGGCAGCGAAAAAGCAAATACAAATTTATACAGATGTATACACATTGATTTCGTTTATTGAAGAGGAAAACGTTCATCGTCTCTTAAAAGGTACAAACAATTATTTTGAAAATACCCAAGAGACGTAAGAAATAACGGGATAACGAAAATCTTAACTCGAGTGCACGTAGTGCCGACTTGAGTGCGATACTTCTATTCTCTTTTAATTTCAGAACGTTTGCATATCAGAGAAGGTATTTAGTTGAGATATAAAAATAAGAAGGTATTGTATAATTGCCAATGAGATAATATTCCACCAGAGACCAAATGACATATAAGTTAACAACTATTGGTCACCGTATGACCTACAACAGTGAGCAAAACCCATACCGCATCGTCAGATATAAATGACCCCGAAATGACAAATGTAAAACAATTCAAACGAGAAAACTAACGGCTTGATTTATGCACAAAACAATGAAAGAAATACAAAAATAATATACAGTAACAAACGACAACCACTGAATTACAGCCTACTGACTCGCTCCTCTAGATTTATCTTCTTTATAGAAACTCAAAACAAAACCAAAAAGCAAAAAGATAAATGATGTGTTTATACTTGAGGAGCTATATGGTCAAAAGGGATATAAAAAAAAATACACAAAATCATCTATATAAGGTCAGCTTTGATTGAGAGCGTTGGTACAATAGTTTCTTGATAATTTCGTAATGTAAAACAGGAATACTTTTAACTGCCTAAATACTTCTACTACATGTAATTAGTTTACCTATCGTTTATGTTTGGACAGGGAAATGTTTTTGGTAATTCAGAGTTAAAGTTTTAATTACAAATGATCTTTTCTTGAAAGCATTTCTGGCATCTTATAACAAAACACAACACATTCTAATTAGTTAAATTTATTACTTTTTTTAATCATATCTATATTTTTACATTCTTGCATAAAAATTAACATCTAATAATATCTTGTACAATTCCCCAAATAGTTATTACTAACTCGAGAGAAAAAGTCAAAATATATTAATTATGCCGCAATGTAAATTTTCTCCAGAGTGGAAATACATAAACCATTAAATATTGAAGAATTTTTTACCATACATTACACATATATAAGTTTATATGACACTTTTGAAAAATTGCTTCCCTCAAAATCGCCATATGCATCTGCCCAAGTAATTTGCGCTTACATTTCTAAGTTTACTTTGTTCTCGGTAAAAGAGTTTCAGGTTTAATCTTAACTTAAAACTACATAATCAAGCTTAATAAAGCAGAGCAACGGACATTATCATCCTTAAAATACTTTAGTTACTATCATGAATCATGGTGACAGTAGTTTATCGATGACCAAATCTAGTTAATCGATTATAAAGAGACAAATTAAGGGCATACGATACAATTTTGATCCCACTGTGAATTTTTGACGAAAGTTTACAAACAAGCTATTTTTCTTGCAGTCAATTCAAATATGTAATAAAAAATATACCTTCATGTGCTACTTTTAGAGATAAATGGGGTCGAATTTTAGCAATTTACTAGACATTTTGGTTTCTTGGACATTTTTATTCAATGTAAAGCCACACCTAACTTTTTTGTTTCAAAAGATAAACGCAAGCGGAGTTTCGTAAAAACATCTGGAATTATATCTTCGGTACATAAGTGTGTTTTGAGTTTGTGTAACAATTTTTTGGAAATAATTCTTTTTTATCATATTTTCATGATTTTAGTCAAAAACGGCATTTTTGGCTGTACATTCATCTAATTTAAAAAAAATTATCGGTGATTTGTTCACAAAAATTGGCACAAATAATCCTTACATAATCAAGCCTAATGTCATTTTTCGAAAGAGGGGCCCATGAACTCGTTTTCAAGTTTAATCAGTCTGGGTGATAAAAATCAGTCGAAAAATGCCTCTTTTCTCGATATGTCACAGTTTGACGTCGCGAAAAGTAACATTTTACGTTAGTGATGTCATTACCTCCCCTGTAACTGTATCGTATGCCCTTAAGGATGTTCGCTCCTCTTGTTTTTGATTTTTTGCCAGATATTCGGAATCCTCTGGTTTTATCCATGTGGTGCCATTAAAAATTTTGCCCGCTAACCCCTACTTTTCTTTTCATAATTTTATTACATATAGTTTAAAAAGCCATATTTGAAAATCTTATTAAATCCATGTTATTTTTTCATTGTTTTTGAAAGAACAAAGGTGCCAATGTTAAGTGTATGAAAAATCTAGAGAGAATCATTTCCCGCCAAATTTTAAATATTTTATATCTAGAAAACAAGCACACGGACCCTTAATTTTTTTCTGCATTTTCAGTTCCTTCATTTGTATACTATCAATTTATAACAGTCTTTTAAAAAGCTTGTTATTTTGAAACATAGTAGCGAACATCCTTAAGGTAACAAACAAGTCCTGAGGAAATCGCATGTGAAACTTGTTTCTTGTTACAAGATATTAGTCCATGGACATTTCAGATTGTCGCCAAACCAATCAACTAATACATGTGTATACATGTAAGTATTGCATTGTCACGGTTTTATTATGTTCCTGACTTTAACATTAACTACAAGAATTGTTTTACATGTAGCCATATATAGAAAGAGGTGTTTAAAGTATAGATCTAGACGCAGATAGTTTGATTCTTATTTCATTCCGATTTAAGATGAGCTTAATTCATCTTCACATAATAAAAGATACAAAAGAGCATGATTTAAAACTTAACCGAAACTTTTATCAAGTGTTTTGTTTTTCGTTTAAGTAAGTATAACTTTATTTTCTTTGAACGTGATTCGAGTGCACGAAATACATGTATGGTCCGTATTATAGTATTTAGACACTCTTGCAAGGTTTCAATATTTAGTCAGTCTTGTCGGACTAGTTTTCCCATCCTTTTTTTATCGTTTTACAATGATAGTGTATTTCTCTCTTTGTCGTTGAATTTTTATTTACCATATTATCTTTCTTTAATTTCGGATGAATATCTAAATTAAATTAATACATAAGAATGAATGCGGAAAACGTATAGTGCATGCAGGCTTGTATAGTATTGTATAATATATTTTTATTATATGATTCTAGCACTTGTTATGTTTTTATGATAGTTTTTAGTTTAATATGATTCACAGCACTATTATTTTACCTAATAATGTACAAAAAAGCCACATTGAACACTACTACAGACCTTCTAAAATTCATACTGACCACACGCACGATACACGCACGCACGATACACGCACGGTGAATGCACGATACACGCACAGTGAATACACGATACACGATACACGCACGATGAGCGATGAGCATTACACGGAGGATTAACGAAAAATGAATGATGAATGATGAACGCACGATACACGCACGATGAATGATGAACACACGATACACGCACGGTGAATGATTCATTGACGAATGAACGATAAGCGCTTAATACACGGTTCTCAAAGCCATTTTATTTGGAATTGCATTTAAAATTGATGTATGATAATGAAAATCTATAAGGGTATACAAATTTTAGATATCTCGCTTTCTGTGTTGATTGGTCGACAGTTTTACTAAACACTCCATGTATTAAATAAATTAATTGTAGTATAGTATTTCCAATATCAATGAGTGTTGTCAAATTATAAAACTCATCGATTTTATAATTCTACTTAATATAAATAATTTATAAATTGCTACGTTTTAAAGAGTGGCGATTCCAGCCATTTTTAAAAAGAGGGTTCTCAACCCAGGATAAAAGGGGTGGTTTTAACCATATGTCCCCATTCAAATGCATTGACCCCCCCCCCTCCCCCCTTCATTTTATCTGCCTAAATTTGTAACCTTAAGGCGAAGTGTACGTAATTAACTACTCCACAGAATTTTTTTTAATTTTACATGTGGATTCTGCTTGTAAAAATACATCAGACAATAAAATAAAAAAAGGGGTAACCGTTTTCGTTTTTCAGATACAAGCTGTTGAAATTAACAGCATGATACGCCAAAAATACAAAGGATATATAGGGAAAATCATAAAAATCGGCAGATATTTTTACTTTATCAAGATTTTCTAATTCGTTGGTCCACAGAATTTTTTTAAAAATCGATATGCGATTCAAAAATGAACGACGAACCCATTGGTGCAAAGAAAGTCCTTAGCAACCGTGCTAGTTTTCAAGCTATATCCTGTGGAAGTTTGATTTTTAGCGGAAAGAATAAAAAACATTCGGCGACGTTATTGATGTCTACTGTAACGTCATCACAATTTCTACT